CGGGAGCCGAGCGGGGCGGCTCGTCCGAGCTGCGGGGATGCAGAGCGCCGCGGCACCCGCGCTCGCTCCGTGTTGTTTTGACAGCTCAGTTTCGTTCTACTTTAGGAGAGAAAGGAAGTCAAATAGATGCCCTTTAAAAACTCCCTTTCAGAATTTATCCCCCGGTGACCGGTAAGGATGAACTTAAACTGCTCTGTCGTTTGTTGGCGGTGGCCGCTGGAAGAGTGGTCAGGCAGCCGGGGTTCGAGCCCTGACCCTGTCGCCGCCTGGTTTTGTGATCTTGATTAATTAAACGCTCTGAGCCTGAGTTTCCTCATCCATCAGATGGGGATAAGAACACAGAGCTTTAAGCTGTCAGAATTAAGAAATACAGATTGCACCATTGATTTCTTCATTTGTTGAGAAGATCCTTGGAATGTTATGTTTCCGTTAACCAGGACTGAAGTGTTCTGTGGACTTGGGACTCATACTTTGTTTTGTTTAATCATTAGCACCCCAAGTTGTGTGTTTTTTTCTTTTATACTTTGTTCACCTAAGTAAATAATTTCTTAAAATATGCCGTCTTCTTAATTTCCGCTGTTTTAAGATGGCTGAGAATGTTCCTAGGAAATTGATGACTCTGCTTTTCTGGGGATCAGCTCCAGCGACACTGTACAAGGACTTACCTCCCCACCCCCAGCTGCGTCCTGTGAGGATTCTTCTAGGAGCTTAACTGTGCTGTGTGTATCTAAGTGGTCTGCAGACCCGTCAGGGGCTTCACCATCTTTGTCTTTACCTAATGTCAACTTTTTCCTGTGTTCCACTACACTTTCGGACTGTTTCATAATTTTTACTCCCTCGGGAATTGTGTTTACAAGTTGCAGTTTTTGTTCTCAGGCGCGTTGAGTGCGTTCAGTAGATTTGGTAAGGAATGACTTGAAAAAAATGCACATTAATCTCACTTCAGCTTCAATTATTCTCACACTGTTTTCTCCTCGATTTTATTGACATTGGTGATGATTCCCCCCACCCCCCCACCTTAGGGAGAAATCTTTATGCCCCTCAATTGAAATTTACTTTTCACTTCAAATGGCTGTACTGTACTATTTGGAGTTCAGATACTATTGTGTAATGTATGAAATAACATGTTCTGAGTAAATGCTGCTTTTAAATGTACAGTTGTAAGAGGAAGAGGCCAGTGGGCCTGACAGATTGTACAATTTCTTCAGTGATAGGTGACTTTGAAAGACATTTATATCAAGAAGATAAGGAGAGATCTAATGGATGTATCTTATAAGGATAACAGAGAGCCTGAGAGTAAATAAGTGGAAAACTTATTTAAATTATAGAATTCATATATATGAATATAAGTATTTCTGATTCACTTTAAAACGTGCAAAAATACTCATTTGTAGGAAGAGGTTTCTGTGTTTCTGTTGTTTAGTCCACTGTAGGACAAGGAGCGATGACTATGGAAATATAAGACCTTCCCTTGTCCAGATAGCTTTGTTTCTATCTGTGTATCCTTAGGTTACATTGTGGTCCTCCATATCCTTATCTGTAAAATACTGAGTTGTTCTGATTCCAAGGACTCTTCTAGCTCAGACCTTCAATGCTAAGGGTTTTTTTTTTTTTTCCTTGGTTTTGGTTTTTCTCCGGTACCAGGAACCGAACTCACGACCTTGCGCTTGCCAGGCAGGTGCTTTTGCCGCTGAGCTAAATCCCCAGCCCCAATGCTAAGGGGTTTTAAAGGTTCTTTTAAACAAGGGGAAAAAATTGATGTAGACCGTTTTAGTCCCCTATTTGTGTCTAAGAGTTTTTTCTTCTCCAGGTCATATAGTTCTCTTAGACCACTTTGAGGAAGGGAACACACATGAAAGAACTAGAAAACTCCAAAAATCAGAATCTCTACCAGTTCATCCCCCTTTCTCAGGAGCTGCATATGTTTTCTCTGCATTTTTGACCTGCTTAGCTCTCTTTTCTCTTTACTGGTTCTCTTTTCAGAGTCTCTATCTATTGTGCTTGCTTCTTTCTAACCTTAGTTTGCCAGTCCCCTAACCCGGGTTCATTGTTTCTCATTGTGGATTCTCTTCAGCGTCTTCTGCCAACCCTGGTTTCTGTGGGGCCTCTTTTTGTAGGTGGCTGCTGGCAGTGGTGCCTGATGCCAGTCTAGTTACTGTGGAAGGGGAGGTGGGGGCATGTGGTGCGCCTCATGATTGGCTGAAGCCATGGGCAAGTCAGACTATGTGACTGAAGTAGCTAATACTGCAGAACATATTTTAGATTTGACTCTTTCTGTAGCACAGCACTTAAATAGTTTTCCTTGTGCTGTAACATTTTCTATTTTTATTCCTACTTTACCCTTTTTCTTTTTTCTATTTTTGTAACTTTCTGTGCAATTATCTTCTCCCTCACCCAAAGATCCCATCTAAAAATGATCTTTTTTTTTTTGAGATTGATATTTGTGTATCTTAGCAGGAATTCTACTATAGCTTCTCTCAAGGCAGTGGGTTTTTGTTTTTTTGTTTTTTGTTTTGAGTACCAGGAATGGAACGCAGGACCTTGCACTTGCCAGGCAGGCACTTGTGCTGCTGAGCTATATCCTTAGCCCAAGGCAGTGATTTTTGTTTTTTATTTTTTATTTCTTAGTGCTGTGGATTAAACCCAGTAACTATATCCCCAAGCAGTGCATTTTAAATCTTAGATCTAATTATGAAGTGCATGCCTGTGTCCTACGTTAAATTTCTTTTTCCAGGTACTAGCCTTAGGCAATATTATGTAGAGAAAATATTTTAGGAATGGACCTTTCCCCCTGAAATTACATTTCTGGAACAAGTCTGTAGAGGGTTTCTGAGTCCTTTTTTGGAGAGAACGCTGCTTCTCAGACTTCGGTGTTTCCCCCTCCTTATTACCTCCTTCTCTTTCTTCCTTCTCCTGTCTTCCCTCATTTTCCAATAGTGGGGATTGAACTAGTGCCTCTAGGGTACTAGTCAACCACTTTACTTTTGAACTGCATTCCTAGCACTGAACTATATCCCCTCTGCCTTTTTTTTCTTTTTGATTCAGGGTCTTGCTAAGTGGCCAAGTTGGCCAGGCTGGGCTTGAATTTGTGATCCTCCTGCCTCAGCCTCCTAGAAAGCTGGGATTACAGGTGCACACCATGATGCCCAGCTCCTTCTGACTTTTTCTGAGAAACATATGCCTCTCTAGCTGTCAGTCCTTTGGAGTCTAAGAAGTGGTGATTATCAAGGCCCTAATCTTTGGCTGAGCGAGAGTTGCTCTGCTTACTGCTTAATAGTTGCTGCCATTGTTGATAGATAACTTTTTTTTTTAATTTTTTTTTTTATTTTTTGGTTTTCTGGTTTTTCTCCGGTACCGGGAACCGAACTCACGACCTTGTGCTTGCCAGGCAAGTGCTTTGCCGCTGAGCTAAATCCCCAGCCCCGATAGATAACTTTTTAGCTGTAAGTCATAGTGGCACAAAAAGCACAGCACTAAATAAATGCAAAAATAGGATCTGAATGAGAGATTTTTAAGGTAGGATTAGCCATCTGTTAATGTTTTTAATGTAGCTGTTACAATGATTGCATAAAAAATTCAAGGAGGTACTTAATGACAGGCAGCATGAAATGTAGTGTTTTAAACCCTTCTTACTGAGACCTATGGCAAGAGATCTTTTTATCTCAAGACTATAGTTACATAATTATGTATACTTGTATATGTAAAAATAGGTAAACTGAGAGAAATTTCACAGAACAAAATCTGTAGTGTGTACAGTCTATTCTGATAGTTTCTATTTGTCTTGATTTTTGAAACATGCTAGTTGTAAACTACATTGATGTTTGTTCCCTGCTTTTGAAAAACAGGGTCTGAGGTTGAGAGTTTGGGTGCCTAATTCCCCATTTGTTCGTCATTTGTCATTAATCCTTTTTGTGCTTCACTTTCCTTGTTCTTAGAAGGAAAGCATTCTGGTTTAAATATTTGATGATTCTTTGTCTCTTCTCTAATGTATTTATCCTTAGGTTTCTGGGTAGGAAGAAACCACTGAGAAATGGTTAAATATCAGTTATTTACATATGTGCTGTCTTGGTTACTTTCCTCTCATTGCTGGGACAAAATACCTGACGCCCAAAATTAAGGAAGGATAGGTTTATTTAGCTCACAGTTTGTGGAGGTTTCAGTCCATACTTGGCAGGTTACAAGGCAGAGTGGCACATGGCAGAGGGCAACAGCTCATGGCGGCAGAACACAGCAACAGCAACAACCACTAAAAGGGAGGAATGGCCATAAGCAGCCTCTTGCTCTCCCTTACATATGCAAACTATCCACCCCAGGGCGGGTGCAGCTCTCACACCCATAATCAATCAAACTCTAAAAGCCTGCCCCATGGCCGCATGAGTCTTTGGGGGGACACCCAGACACAAACCATAACATGTGCTATTTGGCAAGTCATGTGATACAGCTTTGAATAGTACTTTTCTCCAAAGACCTCATAAGTTGGAGTGGAGACGTTAAGACTTGTCATACAGGGGCTGGGGATTTAGCTCAGCGGCAAAGCGCCTGCCTGGCAAGCGCAAGGTCGTGAGTTCGGTTCCCGGTACTGGAGAAAAAAAAAAAAAAAAAAAAAAAAAAAAAAAAGACCAAAAAGACTTGTCATACAATAATTTAGGAAAACATTTATCTGTGTTTGTTGTTCTATGTCTGTGTTCCTTAACAAGGAATATTTTAATTTGAAATAGTGCACTTAAAATGCTTCATATACTCCTTTCATGTTAGAAAACAGCATTAAGAATATGTTTTTCTGTAAAGACCCCCCCACATCGTTACTGTCTCAGACATTTCCAAACAGTGTAACTGCCGTTTTCCTAAGAAGGGGACCTCAAGGCTTTGCTTGTGGATTTCCTGCTGTTCATTTTGGATGATTTCTCTAGACTAGGCCATTTCATGCTGGGGGTTGAGAGTCCTCTCATTCTTATTTGTACCAAGGATAAGAATGAGGAATTTACTCCCTGCTCCCAAGATTCTGGTCAGAAAAAAGAATGCTAATGATTGGAAGGAAATTGGAAGCAGACTTTGTACTACCTCAGATCAGTATTATCTCCTCAGAACCCCTTCTTTGACCCCACGCCTCATGTAGACTTCCTCACCTATCACTTTGTTAATATTCTTCCACTCAGTTCAGCATAAACTGA